ATTTTGATCGCAAATAAGCAACCTCGTGGGAAACTTTTCGCTCGTATGCGTGTTTTTATTCTGTCTTGTTAGGCTGAAATATTATGTTAGAAATAACTGTTTGCTTCTGACCAGTCTGGATCCACCTGACGGACGTCTCATATCAATCATCGCCTCCTAATCAATTTCACGTCTGAGTCCGTAGAAAATTTGGATGTTACTAAAACATCTCCCCCGTGTGTGATTTGCAGAGACCAAATCTCGCAGTTTGTGTAGGCGAATTGGATATTCTCACCTAACTTTTACGGTAGTATGATGCCGTCTAGTTCAGGCGCGATCAACTACTCACAACGCTCTCATACGACGGCTCCGATCAAACTGGATTTAAGATTAAACTACATTTTGAGCATCACGTGACTATTGGCTGTAGATCTGCAGATGAAATTTTCAATTAGAGGCTAATCGACTGCTCCGCATTTTCGATTATTTTTATGTGGACACTTCGGCTGCTGTTGAGTATGTGAGTAGTATCTCCCGGTCATAACTGAGACTCTCCCGAGAAAAGATCAAGTTCAGCGGATCAGAAACAGCGATAAGAAGTTCCTTAGTCTGTAGTTCGTGTTTCCCTTGTGGTATGTGTGTGGTAAGAAGTTCCTTAGTCTGTAGTTCGTGTTCCCCTTGTGGTATATTCCGATATATGTGACATATTGTTTCCTAAATACAGTGGACAACTGGTTTGCAAAATTTGTCGGGAGAGTAATTATTTCACTACAAAAATTGATGACAACAGTGTTCCGTGGTGCTACACAGGTACGATTCTTCCCGCTCTAGGCAGAATGTACACACCTTCGTACATTTTAAGGGACTAAATGAGTTCGTTGAACTATACATGTTGCACGTTTTGTCCTGCTCACCAGCACATCCGGAAGAGCTAACTATGGTTCTTGAAAATGTCCAGGATCTCTTACTTTTTGGTAGGTATGTGGTTTGTCGAATCCATGTGGACTCCGACTGAACTGACCTCCTCTTTTCTTGTTTTGAGTAAAGCGGATTTCCCGTGCTTAAAACATTATGCGGAATGAAATTTCTGTGTCATCATCAGGTGTGTGACTATCGTACACATCAAGTTGTGAGAAGCTAGTAAGCAAGTTCACGTGACCGTGTTCTGCGCCACCCGAATGCTGGTTTGCTTTGTCGTGGCCGCATTTCATCCAGATGGAACTAGAGTCAGTTGAAAGGTAATACTTGATAAAAAATCACGCGCAGTTGAAGCTAGACATTTAGAGTATGGCTAGGTTTTTGAATAAACTGTGGCAGTTACTCACAAGGTTGCTGAAAACTCTTTGACAGTCCACGATCGGTTTCGCCCTTCTTAGGGCTCATCAGATAGGCGCAGTTCCCGAGTTTCCGTCAACCTTATGTTCTACTTGAACCATCTTTTGGTCTGTTTCATGAAGTCCGTTCTCGTACATGGCTAATCAAGGGCCACCGAGATATTAGTGTTCTTTGAACAAACTTGAATGCGCCTTTCTTGGGACTGTGTACAGCACATTCAGTTGTAGACTCAGTTGAGTCTCTCGTGAAAACCAAATCGATTTGCAAATGAGTGTATTTCTCGAAAACTGTAGCAGTATTCTCAGTTGCTCGTTAACAGTTGCTCAGAAACCGTGTTGCGTCGATTCGCTTTTCTAGTTGAAAGTAACACGCAAAACTTCGTTGGTGTACTAAGCTCATCACTTGAGTGTTTTTGTACCGTGCGATGAAAGAAACATCAAACAGTAGTTATTTCTCATCCTCGTGTTCACCTTCCTAAAATCCAGAGCAAACTTCCAAGTCGACAGAACCGTCCTGATGAACATGTCTCATTGCAAATAAACCGTGTTTGATTCAATCTCAGACCCACAAATTTTGTGCGCAACTAACGCTGGGCAAACGTATTGCAGGGTAGAAAACAAATACTGTGAGCAGAATCAGAGGCCTGGCTGAAAATGACTGATGAATGGGGACTAAACTTGAGTTCGGTGATCTGTGTTCATTTAAGTAGGCGACACATGCAGTGGAAATCAACCGGAACGAAAGATACCGTTGGACAGGTGACACGTGAGGGGTGAATGCTTTATTTCAGACATGATTATCAGCAATCTTTGTGTCTTGAAGAGCTCACTGAATAGTCCTAGAGGCAATTCCTTCCTTCTCCCCTTTGTAAGCCCAATCTGTGCACAGACGTCAGGAGGCGGGTAAGAGAATAGACTGGGAAAGACAGTTCAAAATGTCGTTCGGATCACTTCACTGAATAAGTTGAGTGGTTTCCGGAGGAATTCCAACTACATCGGTTGCTTTCATTGCCAAGAAATGCACCATATTTCAAGAGGCCAAACTCTGTTTTCTCAAACAAGACGTGTGATATGGTGACTTTACTTGTAAGCTTTATACATGTTTCGTCAGTTATACTCTGGAATATTTTTGAATACAAACCATTTTGGATAAGGCACTGGCAACCTCAAAGCAAATTTACTGCAATAACAACCGAAACGTGGTTCAACCTTGTGTAACACACCCGGCTGAAGAATATCAAAAACGAGAGATTGAGCTAGAATTCAGTTGAGTCCCCTTGAAAAAATGCAACTGTACGCGAATGAGTGTATTCGACAAATTATGTTCAATTTAGGCTCACCTAGAACGTAAGGTTTACGAAAATTGGAGACTGAGTTCATCCGATGAACCCCAAGACAGGCGAAACCGGAGGTGAGTTGTCCAAGAGTTTTCAGCAACATTATGAGTAGTATGTCCACAACGTACAAGGTATTTGGTCGTGTTTAATTTTGATGCGTCGACCATTTCTCTCAAACAGTTTCATCCGCGAACATTTTGTTATCTTCACCGGACTTTGCGGTTCAAATCAATTCTACAGATGCGTTTTTCTGCGACAGGAGAACAGTAAATATCAGGATTCATTTGGAATGCGTTTTGGTAACACAGGCTTCCGCAATTTCTGCTGAAGCAGGCTTAGTACCCAACCACTTTGGAGCGGCCCAATTTTCCTCAAGCTTACAGCTGCTTGTCCACTTTAATATCTGTATTCCTCTCCCACTTCAAGGTCCTCGCAGATGACGAAACAGTTTTGCATTAAAGTCAACCTAAACCAGAGGAATATGCATTCCTGACCGAAGCTGTTATGGCGAAGAACCGCTGAACACTGCAGATTCGAAGGGATGTTAAAAAAGGAACAACGCAATTCAACTTGGTGTGTAGTTTTTGGCTAGAATCTTGCTTGTTGGATTGTTTACCCTGGTGATTTGAAGCTTACTGATAACGTTACTCCCAACCTCGAACCTTTGGACAAATTTTTTGGGCAACCGCATCGGGCGAAGAAAATGGTTTCAAAACGCAAAGATTCAGAATAGCTCCCTTTGTCCGGAAACTCACAAGCTGTGCATTACGGTCAGGATCTTAGACTGTCTATCCCGGGACTTCAAAACAAAGCGAGCAGGTCTTACTGTGCAGAAAATACGCGCTTAATGGTCGATGAAGTACTACTTCTCAAAAGATGGACGGGGATACTTTTGTTTGGGTTTATTACTTATCGTTCTGCTTCAGTTAATCAGAAGTGTACCTAGCACAATTTCAGTTCACTCCTGATTGAATTAAATTCCGCTCTAACGGAAACCAACGCGGTTGACTGGTTTGCTGCAAGAGTTGCGGCGTGGAAAAGACTCCGAAACAACCGCTGACGTCAAGCCACTATCAACAGTTAACGATTTCGACACAAGTTACTCTATTAGAAAAACAAACTGCATGCGTTCGATCTAACTGGAAAAACACGAGTCCTCCCGAATTTCGCTTTGATTTAAAACCCGCGCATGATTACATATGCAAAGACCAAAAAGATGTTTGATGAAATATGCAAATAAAACGCGGGGATTGTCTGGGAACAAAGACCTGATTGTTTGAGTTACGACAGTCGGAATTCGCGGGTTTAATTTCAATGAAAACCTGACAATTGTATTTTGGTGCTTTGCTGGATCAATGAGGGCCTTGGTATCGCTTTTTTCTGTTGGGTTGACATTTGAAATATACTTTGAACGAGGTCACTCAGCTTGATTTTAGTTGCTGTCACGTGTGGTCTTTGGTCAAGCTCGGTTTCTGCTACCTGTGCAGCTCTTGCGAAGCGATGACCCAGTGAAAGAAAGAAGGCCTTCGCTGCGGAGTTATTCACTTGAAAATGCCAGCTGACCGGTTATAGACAATTGGATTTGCATCTTATTTACAATAACTGGACATCCATCTGCTCCTGAACACGTTTCCTGGAACTTTCCTGGAGATTGATTGACTCCAATCATTCATCGCTCAAATCCAAGCAAATGTTACAAAGCGACTCCACAAATTCCGCAACAGATCTCCCCTTTTCAGGAGACGCAAAGCGAAATTCCACGAACAGCACATACAACTTGCGTGCCTCCCCATCAGTAGTATCACCGTTACACCCGGTGCGTGCAACGTATGCTGGCGACGTACTGAAAACACGCCCGCCCCGCATGTCATATGCACGGATCGGGAAACCCTGGATGGTAGTTACTTTTGGTGTGGACTCACGATAATAATTACTCTAGGAGAGGAGCAGGACTGTTCACACCTGAGTGAGGTGTATGTGAATTACACGCTGACTGTTGTTCAAACATGACGAAACCTGTCGATGCAAGACCCATTGGGATTGGTCAGCTCTTTGATGACCCATCCCTGGTTCTAGGCTGCCTGTCAAGGGATTCACAGTCAGATGTTTGGTTTTGCTGAAGGACGTAGAAATCACGGACCACAAATAGTCGGAACAACTTAGACAATTCAGATGTCTGCATTTGTGGAAATTTCGCACCGAGTTCCGCTCAGGCCAGGTCCTAAACTGAGCCCAAAACCAGCCGATCAATAACTGAGAGTTCACGAATACATGCAAAAGAACATGCCTGTATAGTGACTCTGTAATTCAGCAAGATATCAGGCGAAGCACAGTGGAAGATTCAGTGTACCATTTGAAAACTCATCATCATCATCATCATCATCATCATCATCATCATCATCATCATCATCATCATCATCATCATCATCATCATCATCATCATCACCATCGTCATCAGCTGTAAGAACCGCGTACTGGTCGTACAGTGATTGTAACTGCTACAGTTTCGTTCACCGATGATTTGGGGTTGTGGGGTAGATGGCCGTGCAAATACTGGTTTGTCGGTGGAATTTCACGTGGAGAGAGGGGTAGGGACGGGAGCTGTGCATTGAAGGCAATAGCTTGGATGGATGAGCACCACTGAGGGCACGACTGGGCCATGTCTGACAGTGGCTTTAACCATTGATGGACGGTAACACTTTTACACAAAGTTAAAAACCTCTGTGTGTAGTAGAAAGTGGCTGTGGGTGTGGTACAATGCCCCGCGCCGAGAATCTTATTTACAAAGCACCTGACTGTGTTTTAGGCTCACAATTTGAATGCACCTAGATCGACCATGCAGGGCGTTTGATGCTGCCTTTGACTGCAGCATCATGTGCTTCTTGATTTCGCAGTGCACGATCAAATCTTAGCGGGCACATATTTGGCTCCATTCAGTGTCACAAAAGCGGAGGAACCATATTCCTGCTAACAAGGTGATCTGAACCCCAAATGTAAAAACAAATCCTTGACTTGAACTCCGGACAGCTGAATTACGAGGCGTGCATGTTAACCACCGAACTACCACGTCTGACCAAGCAAACATGTTCACATTGGAGCAATGTGATTGGTTTGTCCAAAAACTGGATCGATGGCTCACAAGGTCCCTCGATTAGCCTACGTGTCAGGGCTTCCTAGTCGGACAACACCAAGAAAACATTAAGACTGCGGTACAGTCCTAAATGTCTATGGAATCTGTGACATTCGCATCCAGAAATTCCAGTCCTTGACTAACTACAAAGGATAACAAGAAAGAAAGCATTAGGAAATCTTACCAGTTTGACGAGCTCCGTTTTTTACCAACTGATCACACACCGTGGAGGCAGAATAGCACAGAATGAGGGATAACACCGGAAAATGGACTTTTCAAGTTAACTTGAAAACAAGAAAACATTAGGTATCAGAGAAGCAATAATAAAAGACCTTCGAGGTAAAAATATCTTATCCGACAAACTCGTTCACTTTCACTACTCATGAACGTGTCTTTCAGTCGCGTGATGACCTCCACTGCACAGCGGTTCTGATTTACTTAGATAGGTGTTCCTATCATTCGTGTGGGGAACGAAACCGTCCACTGGCCAAGTATTTCGATCAGATGATCTCCATCTGATGCGACTAAGATGCTGCCCAGTGAAACGGAGAGAGATAAAACGCCTGACTTGGACACGTGACCCAGTCCCGTTGCCAAACCGCATGAACTTTTGCGTAAACGATCCTGGTCATCTGGCATAAAGCTTTAAATAGCCAATACAAATAAAACCGCCTGAAGATGTCAGTTGGAAACCAAAAAAGAACGTGCAGACCACCTTCCAGTGTATTACGGTGTGCGCACGGGGCTACACTTTGCGTGACTGAATGTAAACATGTTGGTTTGAAAAACTGGCATTTTTAGGATAACAGCTAACTGTTGTCTAGATACTTTGAAAGCCCTGATAAATACATTTTCTCAGTGATGTGATACACCTCTCAACGGGGCTCGAAAACGGAGAACGGTAACATTAGTCCACTGAACATAAAATCTTCTGAATATGTGATTGTTTCCAACAAGACTAGGCATAAATGAGTTTCGAATTTGCTGGGACATAAGAGGTAGACGTAGATAGGGTCGGTCACGTGATAACTTGATTACCAGTGATCCATCGCACATATTGGGGGCAGTCCTGAGCAGAAGTTGGGCAGCTGATAAATGGATTTGGGGAACTTGAGCTACTCAAGCCAATGGTGATCCAATTACTGTCTGATTGTGGAGTGATACCCCTTCCAGATGAGCATAAAACTGAGGCAATCCTTTCCGTTGCACTTGATAAGGGCGTGGCGGTGAAAACAAACAGCGTTAGGAGGAGAATTAAAAACGCATCAACAGGGTAACCAGTAACATAAAGCTATTTATCCACTTATATCATCTCTGCTGTCCTGTGTTTGCAGCCAGCTCGAAATGATGTCATCTGGTCGCTAAGCAAGAAGTATTCTTTGCGAAAGAGGCAACACTGATTCCCTGATATTGTATTTATGGACAACGGCAGATTTGCTTAGTGACTCCCTACCATTAAACAAGGATTCAAACTTTTGCCGAGGTTTTACATTGAGAGTACAGTCTATTTCCAAAACATTCACTCACACGAGGATCTTCGCCCTTGCGGCATTACTGAGCGCTATTCGAATCGCCGGCTTGAACTAATCCACCAGTCACCTTGGGATCACGTGGCGTACGAATAGACTCTTTAGCAAATCTGGGTAAAAAGCCGTAACAAAAGTCATCTTTGGGGCGTTGTTCTGCTTATATATCTCATCCTCGTGTATGCTAGTGGCAACGACTGACAATATTATGTATTCTCTTGCCTTGGTTTACTTGCCAATGTCCAATTAACCATTCAAAATCACTAATATGCTCATCACTCAGTGACATGCCTCTGATTAAATTGCCAGGGTTTACGAGAGTGCGCAAGGTGCGTCAATAGTACACAAACGGGAAAAAATCCTCTGCTAAGCTAAAACCAGTTCATGCGTCCATCAGCATCTACTGTTTTCAATCAGATCAACCTCGCGTCAAAAGGAGGCACTTCATGAGAAATAATCATCAGCCAGATAACAAAATACCACAGGCATAAGATCAATAGTCGATTTAATCCTGATTAACTCAGTCCGTTCCCCTTCCTGGGGGATGGCTTTCAATCTTCACCTCCACTTGTTCGAAATCCCCCTCATTTGGTATTGATCCACTCGGTATACAAAAGTACCACAAATCTGAGTTGGTAGAATGAAAGGGCTGTGTTTTCAGTTTGCTCATACACTAATTAACAACCCAAGGACGCGATGTAGAAAGTTCAAAAGATATCATCCAAGCTGTTAGGGTATCAGGGGATGCTTCTGCAGTTTGCAGCCTGTTGGTGATTGATTTCTGTGAATTTTCAAAGTGCTTTTAACTAATCGATTATTGAATTTTGATGTAAGGCATATTTTTGTGAACATACATGCATACGTAGCATATATTGTACAGCGTATAGCATAAATATGTACGCATGTA